AAAAAAAATAAACTATCAAGTTAACAAACAAAATCAGTAGTTCTCAACCATTAAGGATTAATTAATTGAAAGACTTCAACTATTATATCTTATCTTGGAAATCATTAGTACAAATATGGGAAGAACGTGTAAAATAGAGAGAGAGAGAGAGAAAAAAAAGGAACAAAATAAAAACCTGAAATGAGATTTCATCCTGGGCCTGTGCAACGTAAGGTCTAACAGCATAAGCTGCAGCAACAGCTGGCGTGTTTATGGGACAAGAATCTGATTCCGGTACTAGTATCCTTCTACCCCTGTTGTCTAATTGCAACCAATTTAACACGGGACCGCAGTTAAGACCCTCGTGATTTAGGCGTGAGAATCGTTGTAGATAATCCTTTATCATAACCCAATGTAATTTAGGCCTTGCATCGGGTAACTTCGGTAGGGAAGAAAATTTTCTATCGAATATACATCGATGCAATTGTTTGTCGAACATCACGAAATTGTCGTATGATCGTTGTAATGTCCAACACGCGTCACCGGAAGTTACCCTAACTGCGTACGTGTCGGTTTCGTTGTTGCCATCGCTAACGGAAACCTGTCAACAAATTTTAAACATCATCAATGATTATGTTCTGTCATATTTTTTTTTTTCAAGATATTTTGTCAAAATAAACAACTCACCTCTAATGTACCCAATTCCACGTGCTCGTAATGGAAGTGGGCACACTCGTCGAGTTTAGGAAACCTTGCAATACTTCCCATGTTGCTACCGGAACTCACAGGTGTACTGAAATCGTCCGTTCGGTTACATCCTAATCCCTAAGTCAGAAAACATCAAATTACAATTACAGAAATACAAATATTACAATAACAACAAGCGTATGACACACAATTGATGCAACTATTTGTATTTGTATTTTTGTATTTGTTGTTAGTTTAATTTTGTTATCACGAGTGACACAAACATTTAGAATCTTTTAATAGAAGAAACACGAATTCCACTTTCCCCTTCTCAAAAATACGCGTCTTTTGTTAGTTGGGGTTAGTTGAGGAAAGGGGTGGTGGTGGAGGAAGGACAAATAAAAAAAAGGACACGAAAGAGACGTAGTAGCCACGTTCAGTGGTCTGTCGTCTGTTAGAGGACAAGATCAATGAGTCTCGGTACTTATGTTAGTTAAATTCTCCACACAAATATACACAAACACACACATGCAGGATGATTCATCCGAAACCATAGGCGCATCTTCGTTCGTTCAATTGCTAGAACTGACGGATACTCATTTTGTTTCCTCTATTCATCGTCAAATTAAATCATCACTCTCTCTCTCTCTCTCTCCCTCTCTCTCTCATTCTCCAACATAACCTAACTTTTTTTTCTCAATGATTAAAAAGTAAACCATTTTGTCTTTTTTCTTTTTTTTTCTTAGGATCAAATTAATATGTTAATCATCAATGTCAGTTGATTATCAATACAAGTACAATGATTTTCATTAGAATTTGATATTCATCGTCAGATGAAGTGTCGAAGAATAAAATGTTACTGTAAAAATATCATAAATGGAATAATTGTAACAGTGTAATATTTGCAATGATAATCGAGTCTAGTGAACTGTGCCTAGTCAAAGAAACTGGTCATCACTGTCTTCTTCTTTTACTTATGTAAGTGTGTGTGTGTGTGTGTATCCATGTGTATGTTCTAACAACATTGAGAAGGAACAAAAATGTTGGTTTTTTTTTTTTTTTTTTACTTCTTTTTTTTTCTTTTTTTCTTGCAGCTACTTTCGATCTGAATGAAGGGTCTGTCTGTCTGTCTATTTGCAAAGAGTTTTAGAAGCATAATATAAAAGCTTCTTTACTCTGACGACGTATCTGTATGAATTCCGATCCAAGAACATGATGACGTGAATTGGATAAAGTGGATAGTATATTTGTCCTTATTTCATTTTTTTTTTTTTTTAAGGTCAAATAGAAAAAAGAAAAAGAAAAAATGAAGATGAAAAGAAGAAAAAGAAGAAGAAGAAGAAGAATTTGATTTGGTTTTTTTGTTTGTTGGTTTGTGTTGAGTGAAAATTTTACAAGTTTTTTTTAGAGTTGAGATGTAAAACTGAATAACACAGTATATATATATATATATATATAAAATAAGACTACTTGAATCATTTGAGTATTAGCAATTATCTCGTTTAACCAACAAGCATTCGCATTCATTGCTCACGATTTACCCTGACCTATGATGAATGTATAATCTATGAATATATAATTGTAATTTGTTGTTATTAATGTATTTGAGGTTATGAATATTTTTTTTTTTTTTTGGTTATTAATTTTCAATGAAATTGTATCTATATTTTAAATGGTAAAATAATTATTTGTAATTAATTTTATATAATATGTGTGTTAAATTAAGCTACTGTAATTTGTAATTTAGTATTTTTTATTTATGATTTTTTTTTTTCAATTTTTTTTTTTTCATTTGAATATTTTTCATTTCCACGGTTTGTTTGTACTGAAATTAAAATATAAAATAAAATGAAATGAAAGAAAGGAAAAGTAAAAAAGAGGTTAGATAAATACGAAAGCTTTAATTTCCAAAAAAAAAAAAAAATAAAAAATAAAATATACAGTGACTCCCCTTATGAAAAAAAAAAAAAAAAAATATTAAATGGTGAATGAATATTTGTATTTCTCTCTAAAAAAATTTTAATTATAATATTTTTTGTTTTGTTTTATTATTATTTTAATTACATTATCCGATTTCACGTATTTATATTTGCAAAAAGCTTATCCGACTCTCGTTTAAATGTTTTCTTTTTTAAATTTATACTTTTTTACGTTTGATGTAAAACAAAAAGTAAAAAAAATAAATAAATAAATTAATTAATTAATTATTTAATAAAAAAAAAAAAAAAATAAATGAGAAAAATAAACGGGGTTAAGTGAAAATTACGCGTTGACGTTTTGGTTGCCAAAAATTACAATGACCCATATAATGGAAATAAATAAAAGGACGAGTAGGGGGATGATGGGGGGATGACGGGGGTGGAATATTTGACTCACTTTTCGGTTTACTGACCGAATAAAACACAATCTCTCTCTCTCTCTCTCTTTCTTTCTCTCTCTCTCTGCATTGTGAATTTAACCAATTACGATTTCTTGAAACTCGTCCAATAAAAACGTTTCCAATAATTTCCCATAAATTACCATAAAATCAATAATTAAGAAAAAGTATTGTAAATATATATATATATATATTTTTTTTTTTTATTCATAAAATTCAGTAAACATTTTTTTTTACTTTGGCTGTACTACTAATAATTATTTCATTAATATAATATTAATAAATATTAATAAAAAAAAAAAATGTTATACTAGCATTAATTGGCCATTAGCAAACCTTTATTGCATCAATGATTTAATAATAAAAAAAAAAAAAATAAAAAAAAAGGGATAGTACTAAAATGTTTCATAAGTGTTCGAGAAAATTGCGTTAGCTGATAGAAAGGAAAAAAAAAAAAAAGAAAAGTAAAGGAGAAAAAAAAACATTGAATGAGAAAGCGTTTGGTCGTGAAACAGAAACCCCACACCCTCCCACTTTCAACAAAAAGAAAAGAAATTAAAAAAAAAAAGACAAAAATTCTAAAAGAGAGAAAGAGAGAGAGAGAGAGAGAGAGAGAATAACGCATAATGTTTAACAAGCTTTGCCAAAAAGTACATTGACCCAGTAACGAAGATCAGTTGCAGCTGTTTCGGGTTTGAAAATGCCTCGTGTGCTTTGCTAGAGGTTCTTCGAAAGCTGAGGGAATCCGATAAAAGTACCCTTCTTCTAACCCTCCCACTCAAACTTATACACACTAAATCCACACCCACACCCACACCTACACCCACACACATATATATAAACATACACAAAGATACCCATGGAACAGATGTATTTCCAAACGCGCCAAACGCCTGATCGTACGTACTTTGCTTATTCGCATTTTACTACTAGCAGCCAAATATCCGGAAGTATTAAATGGAATATACTTTTCAAAGTTATCGACCAATCAAAATAATCCTAACTCTACAAAAAAAAAAAAAAAATTCATAAATACATCTTTATTTTAAAACGTTATCAACATTTTCTGATTTACATTTCAATACTACGATACTACTACTACGAACTAAAAATCGTAGAAGAAATCAATCAAAGTAATAAAGAAACTCAAAAGAACAAGAAAAAAAAAACAAATTAAATAATCAAAGAAATATCTTTCACGAATGTTATATTATTATTATAAATTGTTCAATATAAAAATATTATTAACCAATTAACTGTAAACGTTCTACGTTTGAATGCACACACACACACACACCGTTTTGTATCGCCAGAATTGACCTATGACAAGTATATTCGTCAATAGAAAAATTGTGCCTTCTACATGACGTGTATATTCGTCATTAGAAAAATTGTACCACTTCTTCAAATGACGAGTATACTCGTCGATAGAAAAATCGTACACCATTTCTTCAAATGACGAGTATACTCGTCATTAGAAAAATCGTACACCACTTCTTTTTCATGACGAGTATACACGTCGATAGAAAAATCGATCCACTTCTTACCATGACGAGTATATTCGTCGATCACAGTTAAACTGGTTGAAGGAATGAGAAAACAAACCACCCTCACCCCTCACCACAGCCCCCCCAACTTCGAACTATTTCCATAAAATTTCTTTTTTTTTTTTTTTTTTTTTTAATAAATCCAAAAATTGGCGAAATAAAAAACAGCAGCAGCTTACCCATGAAAAACATCGTACATGATCCTCCCCTCCGAAGAGAAAAGCACCAATAACACCATAACACCAATCGCTCATAAAACTTCAATTATTTTCTCCACCGATGAGGAATAAAAAACAACAAAGCACTTGTTATATAGTTGTACACGCGTAACACTGTTGTTTCAATTATAAACTGTTTTGTGATTTTGTATATAGTGTGTGATTGGTTGTAATATGATGAGTGTAAATAAAATTGGACAACACACCAATATCAAAATTCCTTTTCTTTTTTTGGTTTTTTTGTTTTTTTTTTTAATGGTACGTCGTCACCTGGTGAACCTAAAGAAATTGTCAAGGACAAACACACAATTTTACGTTGGAAAAATAAAAACAAAAGGAGAAATTTTAAATGCAACACATATACAATTTTATAATAATAATAAAAAAAAAAAATACACTACTTTTATTAGTATTATTTTTAATAGGTGAAATGGTGTGGGGTGATTTAACAAAAAAAAAAATATATATATAAAATTATTGTTAATAACCACCACCACCACCACCCATAACCCAATCAAACACAGATGATACACAGAGAAAATATGAGATATGATTTAAAAAAATAAACGTATAATTGACAAATAAACACACCAAAAAAAAAAAAAAAAACTAATGGGGGATGAAACAGAAAGCGAGTACCTCGAAATGACCGGAACAACTGCCGCAACCGGTAAGAACACGACGCATAACTCCTCTAATGTTGAAAGCTAAAGTCAAACGAACAGTACTAGTGGTAGCTAGTTGTTAGCTGATGATGTGTTCCTCGAGAAACGGGTTAGCAAGCTAGTAGTTCCTTTCAACCCCGAAGATGAGGATGAAGTAGTGGTGGTGGTCGTGGTCGTGGTGGTGGTGGTGGTGGTGGTGGTGATGTAGAAGGATGAGGAGGAAGAAGAAGAAGTAGAAGAAGATCTGCTTTGGCGTTTCTCGCGGTTAGTGTCAGCCCGTGTCCTTCAGGATGAAGGAACGAGGTGGATGAATAACCGTGGGTGAGGAGAA